AAACCCTACATCCTAGACCCCTAAACCCTAAATCCTAAACCCTACACTCTAGACCGTGAACCCCCAAATCGTAAGAAAGTAAAACCATGGGGCTCCCTGAATGCCCAGGGTTGCTTGTGGTCCTTGGCCTTTTCTTTGTTTGCGAGACGCCGCGGTTCTTGGAAAGTGCCGGGCGCTCCACTGAGGCAGTTTATGGGTTTAAATGTTTGGGCTTGTTATCGAGGACAAGAAGCTGGAAAAGAACGTGGACAATGAAATGGAAGCTGGGGTTCTGCAGTGGATTGTAGGCTTTACGGTTTCGATGTGAAAAGCCCATTTACAGCCTGGTAATACTATCCTTTATTATAATTCTCATGTAAAGAAGCATCAGTCTTTTTGTGACATGCCTGCCTAAACCTTAACCTAAAACCCGGATTCTTTCAGGGATTAAGGCTGTTTAGGGCCCAGAGCTCTGGAATAAGGTCACTCCGGGTGTTGGGGTTCAGCTCTTGTGTTTACGACTCTGAGATGCTAAACCCTAAACTCTAAACCCTAAACTTCTATACTAGTTTCCATTTTCTTTGCCATTATCCCAATATAACCCTAACATAACCCCAATATAACCCCAATATACTATATACGGAGTTTGAGAGTCCCCTAAGCCCTGAACCCTAAATCCTAGACGGAGATTTTGAGTCCTGCAAGGCCTTGCAAGTCCTCACCCGGCTGCGGGGCGGAGATCACGCAGCAGCCCAGCATGAGCTCAAAGAGGCGGGGCTTCCCAAAGCTAAGCCAGATTGGAGGGTTAAGGTTTCAGAGATTAGGGTTCAGGGCTTGGGAGACAGAACTTCGGGTTTCAGGTTTAGGGTTTAGGGCTTTGGGTTCAGAACTCAGGGTTGAGGGCTTAGGGTTCTGGATTTAGGACTTGGAGCTGGAATGTAGGTTTCACACCTTAGGGTTCAGGTTTCAAGGTTTAGGGTTCAGGGTTGAGGGCTTAAGTTTAAAGGTAATACCCTAAACCTTCAGGTCCAGAGCGAGCTGGAGAATGAGAGGCAGGCTGGCGATGCCACGTGGTCTGAGGTCTTTACCGTGCCCTTCTACCGGAATGTGGTGCCCGGATCACGGTTAAAGCAAACTTCAACATGTGCGGTTTGGGGAGTAGGGTTTAGGCAAACATTAGTATGCTCATTTGCAGTTTAGTGAGGTCTCAGATCCCAATATTGGAAGCAGCGTGTCATTCCCAGTCTACTAGAAAACGATACCTGGATCATGGGAGAACAGTGAAAATGCCTGGATCATAGTAGAATGAGCTTTGATCCTTGAACCCAATGTGGTACCGCTGCCAAAATCTTAGCCGGCTTTGAAATTTCAATCTCGATATGGGGAGCAGTGTATGTGTATGTTTAGTATTATCAGCATCCCCTTCATCATAATAACAGCCCAATCAGCCGCGACCTAGGTAATCATCGGCTGCGCAATCCAGTTCTTTCAGATCATGACCGGGATCCTCGCTTCTTTTTGAGTAACTCTTTTTCTTACGAGTGCCTGAGGGGGGTGGGGAGTGAATATAGGTACCGATATAGGGGTATGTATGGGAAGTAGACAGAGATCAACTCGCCCACTCCCTGAAGCACCAGGAAGTAGTTTCTGAATACTTATAGTACCCCTTAAGTAGATAGAATATAGGGTATGTGGGGATCTTATTAGAATACACCCAAAGCCACTATCTACTTAAGGGGGACTATAAGGCCAGGAAGGAATAAGCAGTGTCAGTTTTAAGGTATTCGCCTGAACAGTTCCCAATATGATTCCATCAGAATTTATTACATTCCTTCCATAACCAAAACATGATATACCCGGAAACCTTTTCCTGGCTATTCAGGCTCTTACTGTATCCGTAAATCTTAAAGCCTAAGCCCCTACCCTACACCCTAAACCCCCATACCCTAAACCCCTAAAGCCCTATACCCAAACCCTAAACCCCTAAACCCCTAAACCCTAAGCCCAAGGATCAACGCCATTGTCAGCTTCAGTGGAACTCTTTTCAAAGCCCTGGGCCTGCATGGCATCGCCTTCTCCATAATTCCTTTTGTTTCCTTCACTGCTGGCAGCCCGCCTGAATTGGGGGGGTTTAGGGTTTAGGGTTTAGGGTTTCTGAATTGAGTAGTATTTTATTTGGGGATACTATGGCACCCATTGTAGAGGAAGATTATATCCGCGTTTTGGGGTATAGCATTTTATATAAGGAGGATAATATTATTGGGTTTAACCACCAAAAAACGCTACTCAATTGGTCACTAAGGAATGAAAAAGATTGGACTCAGATTCCTATAAGTTTAGGGTTTAGGGGTTTCAGGGTTCAGGGTATAGGGCTTAGGGCTTAGGGTATTTGGTATATTAGTCTTTATATGATCCCTCAGAATAATCAAGTACACCCATTCTTTCATCCCATACGAAGCCATACCTCTAAGGTCCAAATCTTCAGCCCGGACTAATTTGGCAGTTGCCATGTTCTGTTGTATTCCTTTATTTCCTGCAACCGTAAACACTAAACCCAACAAACAGAGCAGCTTCCATTCGTCTTTCCTTTCTTATAGTAGTGGCTTTACAACCCTTGGAACTCATTTGCTCGTTCCCTGCTAGACCCTACTCCCCCTACCCCAAGTTACGAGATCCAAGCCCTAAACCCCAAACACGGTCTAACATCCCTGATTCCAAGCCCGAGCCCAAACCCTAAATCCGTAAACCCCTAGCCCTAAACCTTAAGCATAAACCCCAAGCCCTAAACCCTAAACCCAAACCCTAGACCCGTAAAGTGGATTTAAGTAGCCACTAGCGAGGCAACGCAGTGGGTAGTTTCGGTTTGGTCGACCGCGCGGGTCGGAGGCCTCTGCTGCTTCTTGGGATGATGCCACTTGAGCTCACTTGAGAGGGTTTAGGGTTTAGGGTCTTATTTAGGGATACTATGGTACCCAATAATACCGGGTTTAGGGCCCTATAATGGAGAATCAAATGGAAAAGAACATGGAAAATGAAATGGAAGCTGCGATTATATAGGGGTTATTTGAGTAGTATTTTATTTGGGGATACTATGGTACCCAATATAGAGTAAGATCATATCCTCCTTTTAAGGTATAGTATTTGATGTAAGGAATATTATCTTACTAGGTTCAAAAAACACTACTCACTTGGGTGCAGGGTTTGGGCTTCGGCTTAGGGTTTGGGGTGCAGGGTCTACGGGGGGGGTTAGGGTTTAGGGTGTATTGTTGGTGGTTTAGGGTCTAGGGTTTAAGGTTTGGGGTTTAGGGTTTGGGGTTTAGGGTTTAGGGTCTAGGGTTTAGGCATGGTGCCACTTGAGCTCACTTGGGGTTTAGGCTGAAAGGGATGGTCCAAGGTGGTTTCGGCTGGGCTTATGTAGGATGATATAGGGTTAAGGGGATATTACCCTCAACGAGGGAAAAGAACATCAAATGAAAACTGCTACTGAGGCTCTAGGGTTCAGAGTTCAGGGCGCAGGGCCAGGGTTTGGGGTTTAAGGTTTAGGGTTCAGGGGATTTTGGGTTTAGGTGTGGGCGGTTGGCGGGAAATGGATGCATGGGCTACGCAAGGGCCTTCCTGAGGGCAGAGATATCTTCCTAAATTCACTACAAACCCCTAGCGCCCAAACTCTAAACCGCATTCTCAAGATGTCCTTTCTTAACTTATCTTGCGTTCGTTTCGGCTTGAGCCTAAACCCTACAGCTTAGTTTGAACCCCCAAACCCTAAAACCTCCGACTCTACCGTCTGTATGGTTTAAGGCCGGATTTTTACCCAGGCTCATGTGTGTGACGATGCTTGTGGGCGGTGCAGTCGCCATCCTCGCACAGGACCCCGAGACAGGGCACATCGGAGAAGCCCGGACCATGCCTCAGAAGCTTTTGTGGGAAGGGTTATATTCGGGTCATATACGGGTTATATAGGGATAATGGAAAAGAAAATGGAAACTACTATAATGGGGTTATATGTGGTTTAGGGTTCAGGGTTTAGGGTTGAGGGCCTAGGGGTTAGGGGTTAGGGTTTTGGGATGCAAGGTTTGCAGTAGTTTAGGGTGGAGGGGGCCTAGGGCTTTTTGGTTTGGGTTGGGGTCTAGGGATACGGTTCAGGCCCAAGGGTTTATGCTTCAGGTAAACTCCAAGACCTAAACCCTAAACCCCTAAACCCTAAACCCTAACGGTGGGAAGTGCACCGAAAAGCCAGGAAGCTGCCGGCTTCACCATCGTGGCGATGATCCTAGAGCTCCATTGAGTCGTATTTTTTAGGAGGACCCCCCCACCCTGTTGGGTTTAGGGTTTAGGGTCTAGGGTTTAGGGTTTAGGGTTTAGGGCCCTATAATGGAGAATCAAATGGAAAAGAAAATGGAAAATGAAATGGAAGCTGGGGTTACATAGGGGATATATTGGGGATATAGTATCTTATTTCAGGGTACTGTTGTACCCAGTATCGAGTATGTGAGATTATACCCTCCTTTTGGGTATCGTATTTTAGATAAGGAATATGATCTTACTGGGTTTAACTACAAAAAAACAACTCAATCGAGGAGACGTTTATGCTGACTGCCACAAGAAGGCAACCCTGCGATTCCTAAACATCATGGTTTACTACGATTCCTACCAATTAAGTTTGAAAATTACCGTGCCTATTGCGATCCCGCTCCCCTTGTAGAACGCAGCCCACATGCCAGACTTCGAAGTAAGCTGTGCATCGCAAATCCTACATTCCTCCAAAAAGTTCCACAGCAGCAACCCCAAAGCCCTAAGCCACAAACGTTAGCCCTAAACCTCAATCTCCGCACCCTAAACCCTAAGCCTTGAACCGCCTGTGGCAGCAACTTAGGATCGTCACATACATGTTCTCCTTCGGCATTTCCTGGGGCTTTGGGGCCTGGCTGCTCCTGGGATGACATGCGGGTTTAGGCAAGGTTCTTGAGATTAGGGCCAAGGTTTCAGTAGGGTTTCAGGCTTCAAGTTAAGGGTTTGGGGGGTGTAAGGGTTTAGGGTCGAGGAGTTTAGAAAAGGGGTAAGGTGTAGGAGCTTTGAAGTTTAGGGCTTTAAGATTTAGGCAGTGAGGCTAAGGCATGCAGGATTGTTCGGAGGTTGGCACGGCGGCATGTAGATCTTGCATAGACAAGTTGTGAAGCGTTCCTTTTGGTGCCGCACGACGGCATAAGCAAAGCTGACTGATTTAATTACTGTTCTTCCACATTCTCTGAAAATGCAGAGCGAACTGAAGTAGAGTCCTTCACTGGGTGTATTCTTCCCCTTCGTCCTTTCATTTGTGCTGCCCAGGTACATATCAGAGATCATGCCTTTGCGCGTGCGGGGAAAGGCTGTGGGCTTGTGCACTGCCATGAACTGGGGGCCTGCCAACGTTTTGAGCGCCTTTCTGCCACTTGGCCATGCCGACTTGGGGGGGCCAGGAAAACTTAGCAAGAAGGATTAAGGGGACCCTTTAAGCGGAGTTCTAGGGATACACAAGAGGTTTAAGGTCAGGGAAACTTAGCAAGTAGGTTAGTAATTGGGAGAACCGGAGACATCACGTGGCCTGGAGGGGTGGTTTGTACGTGTAGTGGGTTCCCCTGACCTTCCAAGTAAAGCTAAAGCTTAGAGCCTCAACTTTAAACCGGAGTCATTTTTTAAGGATTCTGGGTTTAGCATTCAGGGTGGGGTTGGGCGGTGTTGCTGAGGGCTGAGGGTTGAGGGTTTGGGGGCATTTCTTCAAACAACTTGTGCCGTAAACCCTGAAAAGCCTAAACCCCAAACCCTAATCACAAAACTTTAAACCCTAAACAGCCTCATCTTTCGATGTTTTGGGACTGAAGCTTCCAGCTTAAACCCTTATTTGACCCTGAAACTTAAACCCTTAACCTTCCCCAAGTCAACCCTATAAGTAGTCCTAGCGCCATGCAAAACCCTAAATCAAACCTCAAATAAGCCCGAACCCTCAATCCAAAACCCTAAGCCCTAAACCTTAAATCCTAGTCCTCCAATCCTAAACCCTGAACCCTAAACACTGTATCCTGAATCCTGGTACCTCAATCCTGAACCCTAAGCCCTGCATCCGTAACCCCAACACCATGTTTGATCGTTCAAGAAAAGCTCAGGACACCCCAGATGATCTCATCTCCCCTGGGCCCAGGAGCTATGGGAGAGTGGTGAGAAAGCGCACTTTAACAGGGTTTGAGTGGAGTTTCAGGGTTTTTAGGATTCTTGGTTTCAGGGCTTCAGGATTCGGTGTTTTGGGAGTCAGGGGCTTGAGGTTAATGTTTGGAGTCTTAGGGCTTAGGCTTTTGGTTTTCGGGTACTGAGCCTTCGGGTCTAGGGCTGTGTGGGGGAAGAGCTGAATCAGGGGCTTTGGGCGCACATAGGTCAATTGCAATTGCAAGTTGGAAGTTCCCACTTGAAAGCCCTAAATGGTACAACCCTTAACCCGAAGCCCTTTAGATCCCAAACCCTAAACCCTTAGCCTGTACCCTCATGGGGGATTATCAGGGTTACCTTCATCCCCCCTTGAACATATGTAAGTTGAAATGAGTGTCTGTTTTTGCAATGATATTCTGGGGGGGTACCTGGGCAACCAAGACATTGCATCACGATATATGACCTAGAGGTTACCAGATGCTTAAATGGATAGCCCACACCCTAGACCTGAAACTCCACGACAAGCCACAATATCTAAGCCGAAGCCCGAAGACCCTTACAAAGGAGGCACCCTGATCTTTTTCGGCTGCGTCTGCTTGGTTGTGATCCCCTTCGTGGCCACCTGTGTGCCAGAAACCAAGGGCAAGACGCTCGAGGAAAGCATTACCCAGGGCTTAGCGATTAAAGCATGGGGATTATGGTTACGGGATGACAGTCTGGGGTTCAGGGTTTCTGTTTAGGCCACACCAGCATGGACCCGATGGGGGCTATCTGGGCTTCTATGTTGGTCCAGAGGTAGGTAATGTTTAGGATTAGAATCCCCATAGGGCTGAGGACAGTTCATAGGAATATGAGGGGTCGAGGGGGTGAATGGAGGTCAACATTCCCAGCCATAGGTGTTGGGCAGAAATACGCTTCAAGCTGGGTGTGTAAGGTAAAGTGTATACTCAAGGCTTTAAGGGAGGAATCTCTGTGGCAGGGCAAGGAATCATCATCCGCAGTAAAGGCATCTCAACACTACGAACGACCTAAGGATTTGGAATGTGTTTGAGGGTGTTTAGGACTCGCTCCAGGCTTGGACCCCTAATTCATAACCCCAAACCCTTTACTCTAAACCCTGCACCTAAACCCTAAACCTTCAATCGTAAGCCCTAAGCCCTAAACCCCCATACACTAAACCCTAAACGGGAAGTGCTGGTAGGAGATTGTGCCCTTATTCCGCTTCTCCGGCGCGAAAGGCTTCCGTGCTTTCGCAAAGGCTGGGAAGCTTCGGGTTGGTAATCCTTTTCATCGTGAACTTACGGGGGGTTCGTAGGGAATAAGGGCATATGCATACATTTGGGGTTTAGGGTTTAGCATGTAGGAGTAATGGAACATATTATACAGGGGTTATACAGGAATTAGACTTCCTAATTTCCCACTAAGCACCAGTAAGATTAAGTGACTAGGGGTTGAGGGGTTGAGGGTTTGTTCGTCACCGTAGGGGACCCTAGAGTGCAGCGGTTTGGGACACAAGGGCTTTGTGGTTTTGGGATTTCTGGTTGAGGGACCTACTTGTGTTGTCGGGTGTACGCGAGAGAACCTGGCACGTCCAGGGTCCAGGCCCTAGACCCTCAACCCTAAACCCTGAACCCAGGTACTGCTGTAGTCGGGTGTAGGGCAAGGTGTGATAGTTTGGTGTGGGCCCATGCTTAATTAGACCCTCGACTCTGAAGCCTAGACCCTGAATATGAAGCCCTCGAATTTAAACTTCAAGCCCAAGAATCTAAACTTCAAGCACTCGATCTAAACTCTCACCCAAGAATCTAAGATTTAAGCCTTAAACCCTAAATTCGAACCCCAAACCATCCGCCCTAAGTGTTCCTCTAACTCTCAACTCCATCACAGTAGATGCAAAAAACATGACACAGAAAGGAACTGGGCCTGCTGAAATTGGAGGGTTTTTGGGTTTCAGGTAGGGTCCAGGAGAGGATTCTGGATCAGCCCTTCATTCCTACCGATAGTAAGTGGAGCATGAAGGATGGAATATACAGTCGGATTAGATAGGGGCCACTCTAGGGATTCATTCCTTTTCGTACCAGCAAGCCACTCCTGCTGCTACTGCTGAACTCTGGACTGGATTATGGCTTTCTTGAGCAGTAACATGTAAATCTGATCCTGGTTGGGGTACTGTTTTGTTCCTAGTATGTCTGAGTGGGCTCAGTGCGCCCAGACCGCAATCTGGCCCCAAAATGTTGATCGAAGGCGTTCTCCTTAAACCCTGAACCCTGGGTCTTATTCTGTGCTTGACGTGCCCCCAACCCCGACCATAAGCCGGATGCGAACAGATGCCAACTGACTTGCAGGGCAATTTGCGAGGAGGCTTGGGATGTGGTGATGCTGACATGGAGGCAGAGTGGGGAATGAAGGATGGACTGTAGGCAATTGTATTGACTCATTGCCGTGAAAGAACCTATTTTCAGCTACCACAATATTATGGGTATATGGTAAATAACAGGATTTCCTTTGTACGGTAACTTCATATATGTTCCTTAACATCAACCCAGATCGGGGGCTTTACGGGGCTACTACATGTAGGGGTTAGGGTGAGGGCTGAATGTTTTTTTTGTAGATGGCTTTGGGTTTAGAATGCTGCTCGGAAGCCCTCCATGTCGCTACTTAGGGTTTGGGGTTTGCGGTTCAGGGTTTAGGGTTTAGGGTTTAGGTCTCTGGGTTCAGGGTTTAGGGTTTTGCAAGACTTCGGCGCTCTGCCGCTGCATGTTTGGGTGAGGGTTGGGAGGGGCTTTGAGGATTTGAAGCTGAGGCATGTCGGTACAACCGGGAGCTTCTCAAGACAACCCTTACCTAAACCCCAAAAGTATGTAAAATAATGGCCTTTATGGCTATTCTTATGGGTTTAGGGCCATTATTTGACATACTTTTGGGGTTTAGGTACACAATTCCTCCTGAAAATTCTATCATTCGTGCAATCCCGATTTGTTTAGGCCCCCATTTTGAGGACCCCGCCTTTGTGGATGGCTGAAGAGGCACTTAAGCCGCAAAGTAAGAATGCAAACGACAGAGCTCCACACTCCGCGCGTGTGGGATTGTCGGGCTCAGGGCTTCAAGTCACCAGTACTGGGTTGCTGTTAAGGA